GAAAAGAAAGAGAGAAAGAAGGAAAGAAGGGAGGGAGGGAAGAAAAGCCAAGGTACAGTTAAGAAAAGTCACATGCAAAGAATGAATCAAGAGTAAAGAAACTGAACTTTGAGACAGTTTGCTGTAGATATCATTGAAGTTCTTTGTGTAAACAACACAGCCATTGTGTGCTGTGGTTAGTGCAATGTTTTTATTTCTTAATCACGACAGGTAGATAAGTTAGTAAGAAGTAAGTAAATAAATAAATGGAACCCCGAGCCATTTATTTTCAACCCATGGACAAAATTACATAACGTGAGTCTGACTATCAACCCTCTCAAGAGTTTGCTCAATTGCCTTGGAGAATCAGGTAAGAAAATGAGATGTGTGTTTTAAATTTTTGATGGAATAACGTTCTATGGGGAATCACGACTTAATATCAGTAAACAGACCCGAGGTTGCAGGTTGGTTACAGCTCAAGTTTTTTGGCTGGTGGGTTGGTAACATTCGATTTCCTTGATTTCCTTCCGGGCTGGAGAGATGGCTCAAGAGGTTAAAACAAGATCTACCCGGAAGTCGTGTAGGGAGCTGGGAGCAAGGTGGGAAGTCGTGTGGGGAGCTGGGAGCAAGGTGGGCAGTCTGGGACGCACAAAGGAGTCCTGCAACCCAGGGCGCCTAGCGCAGCGGAGTCTGCGGCTTTGGGGAGTTGGAGGTCACAGTGTGAGCTCCTGACCATTCCGGTCCAAGAGGGCTTTGAGCTTGGGGGATGGACAAGACCGTGACCACTGTCTCCAGGACAGCAGCGCAGGTTGCGCTTTTTAAGTCTCTAAAGATGACTCCGAATCTGGCTCCCACCTCACTCTCTGAAGGGTCTACTGTGTGTTGAATCAGAGAAAAGAGGTGACTTGATATTTTGAGACCCAGAGCTAGTATTGAATACTGAGATTCACAATCCATCATCTGGAATCACCTCCGGATTCTGAAAAGGGCAGTTGCGGGTGCAGGTGGGGTGGGTAACATTACGGCTGTTTGGAGTAGTCTCTGCCTTTCAGTGACTTTAAAGGGCATGAGCTCAGAACTATGGTTTAGTGTTCCTAAAAGTCGGACACTAGTAAACTTCTGGAGTGGCTGGGGATTGAAGTCTGTTCCTCAGAGAGTACTGATAAGGGAGTGACTGGGAGCTTCTGGGTCTTAGGTGGCTCACGTAATGGAGGTGTAAGGGCAAGGCAAGGTTAGAGCTCCTAACGAGTTCTCCAAAAACGTCTAGGAAATAGGATATTCCCAGAATGGCTGTGCTCAGTCTCTCCTAACTTCCACCATCCTCCCTGAACCGCTGACCTTCGCCCACGGGTTTTGCGAGGTCCATCTGTGGCAAGAGCCATTTCTAGGAACATCCTTTCCTGATTCTTCTAGATGAGCTAAAACCTCATAGTTGGTGATTTCTTCTGCTCAAAGTTAGGTTAGCCCCTGTCCCCTTCACTCCACTGGAGGTCCCTAGCCCTCACCTCTCCTTTGGGGACCACACATGAGGATAGGTTCTAGGATTAGGGAGACCAGGGAGGGTGACACAAACCCCAGGATGTGGTCGTTTTTCAGCCAGTGGTGTAAGAGAGATGGGCAATAGGAGACTGGGGGTGAGGGACTTTTATCCAGGGTTTTAAAAGCAAAGATCTTGAGCAATTGTGTTTGTTCTGTTTTCTAGCCGATATAATCGGCTCTACACTCCCAAGTCCCCCACTGCTTCCTAGCTTCATAACCCGCGCATCTTGTCTACCTGAGTTTCGCCAGCTTTTCCGCACCGGAGACATTTCGTTTGTGTTGTGTCCAGCCATTGCGCCTAAGGCCGGGGAAGCTCTTTAGTCCTCCTACCACGTCTTGTGACAAAGTGCGGGCTGACTCCGCAAACCTGGCTGCGTTGATTTTCCTCCGCAGTCTTCGTTTTTCTCGATCTGGCCCAGGGATTCTTATCCCCACCCTAAGGGATTCCCTGGCCAGGTGTCCCAAGAGAAGCCTAGCGAGCTTTGTCACACGCATCCCAATTGATCGCAGCTGGTAGATCCCCCGACAGTCCAAACTTAATCTTCAGCTTCTCATGCGTGGTACGAGCCCCAGGAAAATCTCTCCTAGGTCCCTCCGCCCTCCCCCAAAGGCAGGAGACTTGAGAATCTTCGTAGAAAAGTGCAATTAAAGAGCAGGGTGGGGCGGACCGCGCGAGACAATCAATTTTGGTTTTGGGGTACCCATCCTTCCCACTTAGAAAGCTCTTGGGCAGAGATAGCACAAGTCTGTATATTGAGTCTACCAGGCGATTGCAAACCGAGAAAACAAACAGCCGTGGAGGAATTGCGGGGCGTTAGTTCAGTTGTAGGAGCAATGGGTGTTCGGGAACGCTTGCGGTGGGAACTTTCTACCCATCACTTATGGAGGGAGTTGAAGGAAAGGAGGGAAGGGAGCGGCCCCAGGGGGGCCGCGTGGCGTGGACTGTGTCTGCTGGGGGAGGTGTCTCTGTATGCCGGAGCGTGGGGGTAGGGAGATGTCGCGTTGTGGGCGGAAGGAGTATTCCACGAACAGCAGGCTAATTGGCTTGAGACATTTTGCAAGCGCTGGAAAAGGTCGTTGAAGGAGTTCGCTGTACAGAGAGAAAGAGAAATCTTAAAAAAGAGTGCCGGGCATGCGCATAGAGAGGATGCCATATTGGAATGAGGCTGTAGTGGGAGCTGGAGGACCCGAGCGGGCGCGCTAGGGAGGCGGCGGGTAGAGAGCGAGAGAGCTAGCAGGGCGGGTGAGCGGGACTAGCGCCTACTCCGCTCGCACCCGGGGGCCAGGCTCCACTATCTAGGGCAGGACAAACTTCATCAGGTAAGACGCCGCCTCAGCCACTGTCCCCTCGCCTAACCCGACCCTCGAGCAGATCTTTGGCCCGCAGGTTGAGTGCGCCGAAAGGCGTCTTTTTTCCAGTTTAGTTAAAAAAAAAGAAAGAAAGAAAGAAAGAAAGAAAAGAAAAGAAAAGAAAATTTTTCTTTCCCCACCCCCTTCCCCCGGGCTCCCGGCTCTTAAAAGCCAGGCCTTGCGGGAGTCTGTCCCGAGTTGCAAAGTGACCTCGTCCTCCTCCGGGTGCAGCCTGTTCCCTCCCGCCGCCCACCTTCCTCGTTTGTGCACTCGTTTTAGCGACGCAGCCGCCTCTGCCACCTACCCCGCGTTCCCGCGTCCCCTTGGCTCTGGGGGTCTCCCTCTTTTGGTGTGTATTTGGAGGTTTGGGGGACTGGGGAGAAGGAGGTGATGGTGGTGGTGGAATTGGAGATCAGCAGGGGTGGGGTGGGGGCTGTTTCCAAAATCGCGCAGACATTTGGAATCGCCCGATTGGAAACATTTGCCTTGTGCAGCGGAATTGAAATTGTCAATAGTAGTTTCGGAGAGAGCTCTAGCAAGGGCGGTCTTTTTGTTCATTTTTGTCACCCTTTAAAGTAACATCCCGTCACTTGGGGCTTTCTTGTGTACACTCATCCTGCCTCTTTTCAGAATTACTAACCCGATTGAGCTCTGGAGTTTATTTATTTTTGTGTGCGTGTGTGTCTTGCCGAAATCCTCTTTAAAAGAAAAAAAAAAAAAAGCAACGGTAGAAACTGCTTGATGTGTTTTTTTTATTTTTTGACCTGGAGCGGTTGAAGGAGATTAGGCTGGAAAAGGGAGAACATTGGGTGTGGGGAGTGCTTGATTCACAGTGGCCGGACACACGTCCCCAGCCCAGTCCCTACTTGTGTTTTCTTGGAAGCGCTACAGCAGCGGGGAAGGAGTCTTTAGACACCGTACCAGTTCCAATATGGCGGGCTAAGGTGGCTTTTAAAAACTGAAAATAAAGGTTTTGAGGTGGGAAAAAACCCAACCGAAGTGGCCACGCCTTAGTTTCGACTCCTTTTGGTTACTCCAGGAGCTTCTTTAGCGAATTAAGTAGGAAAAAAGAGGGGGAGAGAGCTATTCCAGTTTTTTCCGTGGTTTATCTGTATCTAGTCCATTGCTAGAGGGTCCGGGGTGGAGGGGTGCCTTGAGCCGGTATGAGAGCATCCAAGCGCAACTGCCTCGTGTGTGTGCCTGTGGAACCGTGCACAAGTCTGTCTGTGCAGTCACTAGGGTGTGTATTAAAGAGACCCCCTTTAATCCACGTCAGTGTGTGTGTGTGTGTGAGAGAGAGAGAGGGAGAGAGAGTGTGTGTGTGTGTGTGTGTGTGACGGAACAGACTGCCACGTTCTGACGTGACAAATTGCTGACACGAAGTGCAAAATGCACGAGGGCAGAGGGGGTGATTAATTTCCCTCTTCTCGGGGTTGTGTTTTCTTTCCCCCCCGCAGTGTTGTTGGATCCTGCGTGGAATAGGCGGAGCGAGGAGGTGCTTATTAAAAAGACTAACTGTCCAGGGTACTCGGTGAAATAGGGAGGGCTGCATGTAGTCAAAAGCATTTTGTGTCCAGGGAGATTGGGTGTGTGCCACATTTAGTGATAGGCTCTTGATTTCCTGCACTCCCTGCCAAGGTGGGAGGTTGGGGGTACCGGGGCCCAGGCTTTCAGAGGACTAGGAAGCAGGGACCTCTCAACAAAAGGCATACAAGGTCAACCCAAAGAGTTGCCAGGTCACTTTCGATTTTTCCGTTCTAGGGAAGGCAAGGGATAGGGAGTGAATTATTAGTTAAAAATTGCTCCTTGTAACAGTTTAGTCACCCACCGGACTGCCGCGGAAGGGGCGCCCTCCATGGGTAGGTGCTCAGGGCTTGGTTGTAGTCTTGCGGGTATGAATGGAAGTTCGAGTGCTGGGAAAAGCTCTGCATCCGCGGTCTGGATAGGTATGGGAAGGTCTAGAAAAGGAGTTTGGAGACAAAGATTGGAGCCACTCTGGGGGTTCTTAGGAAAGCCAGTAAACCTCGACCTGGAAAAAAAAAAAAAAAAAACCTACCCAGAGTGCGTGATTGGAGTAGCCTAGCAGGGAACAGGGGTCCCCGACAGGGGTCGCCCGTGTCCATGACGCAGCAAAGGAGTAGCGTCTGTGCGCGGGTCTACCAGAAAAGACCCGAGGACATTGGGCGTGAGCCACGCGCTAGTCGCTCGCTCGCGGTCTCTGGTGAGGGCTGATCTGGGAGGACATTCTTCCGCCAACGATTGTGAAAGCGCAAGGCCAAGATCGAGGAGGCATTTTTAAAGGATTGAATTAAAAACAGGACTGGCCAGGTCTGTAGTTATTGCAGTTGCTGGGACCCAGAGGGTAGGTAATTTTATTGGGTCACTCAGACTCCGCTAAGTCG